TTCTCCCTCCGAGACCTAACATTGACAACACACCCTACGGAACATTTCAGCAACTACAGCAAGCCTCACTACATGGCATTGGACAGGAGGGCGAGAGCCCAGCTGTTGCTGGAACAGTAACAACAACAGCAACAACAATGTATAGGACTCAAGATATATTTGCGATTGAAGGAAATGACATGAGGTCGACTGGTTTCAGTGGTGAAATTAGCGAGAAAATGGCAACCAAAGTTTGGTAACTCCTATAGCTAAAGAGTCCTTGAAAACAGAAAAATGACATATTTTGTGCCTTTAATCAATGTTTTTAAGTAAAATTCACACATGGAAATGTGTTTTAATATGGACATAAAGTAGAAAGAGGTTGAGCCCAAAACCAAAAATTCTATAAAAATGTCCAAACGTTCGAAAAAAATGCGTTTCTCCGATTTCTGTATTTTGATGAGCACCTGATTTCACCTCGCTTCTTCACATATATTAATAATGTGTAATGTATACACCAAAAAGTTCTCTTGCCTGTGATAAGTATAAGTTGAGCTGGGGTTTTTTTTCATTATATAACATGCAATTATTTGAATTTTTTCATCTTGTACCTGTAATACAATGGAGATCACTTACTTAATCGAAACTGTTAATCTGAAAATAGTGGTAACCTTGAAAGAAAACAATCCCTGATTAGCCTAAATGCTCCTAATTTCTAAATCAACTACAATTTTTTGGGACACGTCTAATTGTTCGCCAACAACTCCTTAAGTGACACAGATCACCAAGACTTGTGCGCTTTAAAATAGCTTATCACACACATCAAAAGGCTTGCTATGCAGTGACACTTGGGTTGCTTGCAAATGTACCAGTACGTCTGTTGCACGACCCTTGATGGTTTATGACTTACAGTCTCTGCTGTAAAACTAGTTCACACACACAAGAGCATGAGAATGGCACATGATGTATTTCATGACAACGCCAATATCCAGGCCTTCTCACTTCTCTAGTTGCTAGCAAAGGACAGTACTGTAGGCTACAGTATATTGATCTACTCTTGCGTCTATTCTGTGTGACTGTTTGGCAGATTATGCAAGCTAAGAATGTCGAAGAGAGAGCACTATGTTTACAGCATGCAGCTCAAATTGCAGTTTCTGAAAGAGGTAGATGAGAAAAAAAAACTTTACGAAAATAAAATTAGCTGCAAGCTTGGCACTATCAGCTCTATATTGTCGACAGTCATCACTTGTAGAAAAAGATGTGATATACTGCAAAGAGTTGGGAATTTTTCCTGCTCTTCCTGAAGAAGGTGCAGAAAAGAAAATGCCATGATGAAGCTGTCTCTCTAAATTTGAAAAAATCCGCCTGCCCCTCAGATTTCAGTTTAAATTGATCTCCATTGTAGTTCATATTATTTATTTTAATGAAACCTTTACTTTTCTATTTTATTTTTTGTATTGTTTAATTTTAATTGTTAAAGTTAATGCTACCGTACTTTTAACAATCTAGAATTATTTTTTAAAAATCCTGTTCATGTGAAGCAGTAGCTAATTGTGTTTTGTCACACTATCACTATAATCAGTTGTTTTATCAGTATAACAATGTATGTCTCATATGTAGCTTTTTTGCTACTTTTGGACTTAATGCACAAATTAATAATATTGTCAGTAGCATCCTTGTTGAGCTTAGTAGACATTTCTCCAGTGTAAAATGCCAGTTTGTAGAAGGAAGAAGTTTTATTGTTGACATATAATTGTAACGTTGCAAAGTGGCATAGATCTTGTGACATCCTGTGCGCTTCCGGTGGGTTACCCAAATTATGCCATAATTAAAAGTCAGTAAATGAGTATGAAATAGACAGAAGAAAAAAATGGAAAAAGGAGCTGTGGGCAGTCTCGTATCATTGTGAATTAAGCTCCAAGTTGTTTTTCGGTTTACCACATAGCTTTTCAAGCCTTTGAGTCTTTCAGTTTTTATTATGCCATATTTTCATTTAAAAAACATGGTTCATGATATTAAACACAAGAGGTAATTAGTAAACCAAAAGCTCAGTTTTGTTCATTTTTTTTACCATTTCTCTCACACTCATAGAGGTTACGGTGTTTTCCTCTCATTCAGTAGGGCCCGGGTTAGAATCCGGATAGGGAAGGAAAATTTTCTCCACCGACATTCTTTCCTGCTCTCTAACATTGTTCTGTTGTCTGCTTTCATCCACACTATCTGCCCCCACCCCACCCCCCCTCACCTCCTTTGCCCCCTCCTCTGGGTTCTTGACTCTTTCTGCAACCTTTCAACTGCTACTTCTTGGCTCCTAACTGTTGTCTTTCACTACTTTCAGCCACACCCCTGGCCTTAAGGTAGGTAAGATCTAACACCTAGCCTTCTTCTTGGATAAGAGCAAAAAATCTTGGAGGGCTCGTGTGCAAGTTGTGCATGTTAAAGATCCCTTGGTGGTCCAAAATCAATGAGATTAAGAGTAGGCTTCGGCTACTACTCAGGCAAAATTCATAATTTCCTCCTACCAACTGAAAATGTTTAATGTGTCCCTGCGCGCTCATACTCATACAAATCATGACCTTTTGCAGTTGCGAGCGCCGTAAAACACCCCCCCCCCCAAAAAAAAACACTCCTAGAGTCACTGGGGCTGAAGCTGTCATTACAATTACAAGGCAAAGCTGTCTTTTTCATGCACATTCCTCCTTAATTAAACCATTGGTCCTGGTTTGGTGTGGTCCGAGTTGAAACTAATGAATGACTAGTCGGCTACCTGGAGCCCTGTTCTCCCCTGCAGCTCAAAAGACATGGTACTTGATGTCATGTATGATTCCAGTTTTCAACGATTCCAGTTTTCAACGAGCGTCAGTGTCACACAAGAGGCCTGTTCATTGCCAGTCCACAATTCGTTGGCATTTGAATAGCTGTAAAACTGAGGGAGTCGATTAATAAGGTTGGCCTATATGTCCTACATAATTAATTTATATTTGAAGGTCTGGCTGCTGGTGAGAGTAGGCTTGTCACTCATGTTCAACAGGTTGAGTGATTCAGTATAATTCACTGAGGACAATTATCGCTAGCATGCAATTTTCTAAAATCATCGACAAAGAGCAATTTGCGACCTCAGTGATTTCTTGTCATATCTCCATTTTTTTAAACAGAGAAAATGTGACTTTTTCAGCTCACTCATGGTTATGAACTAAAAACAGAGATACGACAAGAAAGCACAGAGGTCGCGAATTGTAAATGAGTGATTCTACATTCAGAATTTTTTTGTTGTGAATCTATCAGATGGTGCTCAATTTTATTTTGAGATATTAAATCGACAGAAATAGACCCTGAACTTCCTTTTTATCGAAAACGAGATTATATGAAATTTAGAAAGATAAACCATTTTTACATCATATTTCAAGGAATTTGCTCAAAAACGATTTAAAAAATTTTTGCGCACATATCGTCACCAAATTCCAAGATAAACAGGGGGAATCTTTACTCAGTCGGATGAACACTTTCTTTTCACGGGAACCCCCACATTTTATTATAATATACCAAAAGAAAGAGAATTTTATTGCTGCTTTGGGACACCCAGTGTGCATGAATACATCACAAATAGTTACAAGAGTTACGCATCTTCCTAGTTTCACTTCTGAAAAGGTTTTTTATGAGTGCCGTTTAAAATTCTTCTGTTCCATTTTCTGCCATTCAAACCAAATGCCAACTGTTTCTAATTGAATTTAAGTTCTTCGTTCTGCTCAGCAGGCTATTTTTTCGAGTTTACAGTGAGTAAACTGCAAGTTTTCTGTTTTCAAGTGATTATTGTTTACTTAATTTTAATTTGCTTCCAAAGTAAACAAAACTTTTAAAAACCTGTTTTCTCAAAATGTCACCTTCGGACCCCTATGCACTTTAAAATGACATAGCTTTTCACAGAATGCTCCACTTGAACTCAAATAAAGTGCAAAAAGCTTGGGAAAGATGTGTCTTTCAAAACATGCACACAAAAAAGAGTCAATTTTGAAAATTTGCACCATGTGAAGGGTTTTCTCAGAGCCACACACATATTTAATGATGTCGGTTAGTCGAGAAAATAAGTAGAACCCTTTCACCCTTTCGTTTTCTACTGGTCGGGGTTTTTTTTTGCCAGTACACAAAGCAGAAACTTCAGAAGCCAGACATAAAAAAAAAAATTTCACAGCTGATGTATCACAATATAAGTCTTCTAAAAACTAAATCCTCTTGATTATAGTCTAGCATGCACATAGCGAACAGATCGCCAGGCACCTAATTTGTTCTTTCATTTGTTTATTCTTTGAAACTGTACAGTTAAATTTGTACATAACGAAAAGATGTCCACAAGCTAAATTGTATATATATATGAATAAAAACATTAGCTCATCGAACTTCTCGCTCTTAATTTAGTAATATCATCAGACCCCATACAACGAGATTTAGTGCACCCCTTGACTTATATGTAGCTTTTTCAGTTTGTTTTGATTCAGAAAGAGGAATTCAGTGGATATGAAGAGAATTTTACTTTAGCAGTTAATTTTCTAGATGATGCACTACTACTAGTTTCAACACCACTAGTTTCATATCAAGATGATTTCATAGATATGGAGGTACATACTCGGGATCAGCATCATTATTACTGAAGGAGTCGGCATCATAAAATTTTAAAATATTTCAAACATGTTATTTAAAGTGAATCTAGCAGCTTAATAAATTATAACTATGAACATTTTATGTTAAGGAGTTCTGTTTTCCTTTTTCGTAACAAATATTAAAGAGAAAATGAAAGCATTATAATAATAAATGATTTTGTGAAAATCGTCTACTTAGACCCAGTTCAAGAGAATATACAGACCTGTGCCCTCAGTGAGTTAAAGGCCAAGTCGAGACATAGCAAACCCATTGCCTCAGGCTCATATTGAAACAAATGATTTCCAAGTTCTGTAATTATCAGAAGAGTCACTATACTATTCAAAACACAACCAACACATTATGATAAATTCAAGATGAACCCAGGGTATGGTCAAACTGTCATATCATTTTAATACAAAAAAACCTTCGTGTTGGCTACAGCATGGGGGAATCGGTCACAGACATTGCTTGAGCCACGGCAGGACAAACAGTGAAGACAAAACCTCTTCCTGATCCAAAGCTCCATTTTCACTATGCTATTTGCCAGAGACATTCATGCTTCTACAGTTGCAGACATAATAAATAGTTACCTTGATAGTAAGTCATTCTGTCAATACCAGTACTCCAAGAAATTTGTCTTCACGGATATTCCAAAATTGATCAAAAGGCAGTAGGACACTGTATTTTATATCTTTTATTTACCTATGCAATACAATTCACAGTTTGCCACAGTGAAAGTAATAGTTACCTTCCAGTCAAAACACAAATGGCAAATTTACACATATACACTAGATCATCCTAAAACAGAGACATTAAAAGGAATAAAACATGTCATATGGCTAATGTAAAATAATTTCCACAGGAAAAGACATTTCCATGATAACTAAAGCTGAATGCAACAGAAATATTTAAAACTCACTGAGAACAAAAGACAATGTTGACAGCCTGAGAAGAAAGTAGATAATCTCTGAAGTACTAAAGTCCAGATTCCTTTGTGTTTTTTAAGTTTGCATTATTTCACAGTCGAAAATCTGCCCCGTAAAATTCTTCCCTTTTTCCTTTCACGTACCACGACCCTGACCCCAGCCTAGGTTAGTTGCTGCTCTGTCATCACTTGTAACTGGGAGGCTTGAAAGCCAGTTTTCTGGACTTGAGTACACTCCACTTGTGTCTCTTCATGTAGTATGTCACGCCAATCAAGAAACTCAGAATGATCAATGCCTGAAATATTGAAAAAATGTCATTATATTCCAGTATACTTACTAACAAAGAGAACGCATGCATAACTTATGATAAAAATATAGCAAATTCTCAACCCATACAGACATCAAGCAGGTGCACAGGCAGAAATCATCTCACAACACTGAAATATAACAAATTATAAATTAAAGGACAAAGAAGTAAAAAATCAGTATTGATCTTCCGTCAGCAGCAATAAACGTTGCATCACTTTTTCTCCCTGTCTCGACTCATTCACTCACTAGTTAACATGGTAATAGTACAGACAAACGCTGAGTATGATACAGAAAAATGAAATAGAGTGGATACTAATTATCACAAAACTATATATTAGTCACTTATTTGGGGGATGGAGGAATGTTCCTTTTAAAATATGTTCAGATAAAATGCCATACTGCTAATGCTCAAACATAAAATGCATTTCTAATAGACCTTGGGGTACAAAGCACAGGCTTGAGGGCGAGGGATGAAGTGAGGATTGACAGCAGTTGGAAGAAGGAAAGGAGAGAAGGGAAGAAAACTTTCAGCAACAGATTAACATGACTGTATAACAGAACATTACATAATGGTCATATCTTTTTTTTAAAGCTTTCTTTTCTTTCTTGCAAACAGCAAAGAAAAGAAAAAAAGACCCCAAAAAATTATTTAAAAATCAGAGCAACGCTTGTCCACTTCTATGTATTCGACTTTCCCATTGAAATAAGTGTACTTTCACTTTCATAAAGCAGAAGGCCTGAGATAAACTATGTATTCAAAATGTTGGGTGGATAAGACTTTCCCTGAAATTAAGCTGAAAGAAAAAAAATGTTGAACTCCAAATAGGACAGTATCTAAATCACATAAAATGTTCATCTAGAAAGCTGAACATACCCTGAATCCATACAGTTTGCGAACATCATGCTCAGGTTCTCCGGCCCATTTCAGGAAAGTGGCAACATCTTTCGCCAGCTGACTCTGTGTGGCAGGGGTGCCTGGAGACACAAAGGGAAATTAATACTTCATGTCACAGTTCCAAGCTTAACAAACTCGGTACCCGGCACATTATGGCTCAACATCCAAAGAAACCCAGGTGCTTTCGCACCTAATAAAAATATAATTCTGACATTACTCACCATCCAACAATGAAACGTAGCATGCAAAAAGACAATACAACATACTGCACAATGCAAAAGAAATTTTAAAGATATCTTGAATAGCTATTTTTTTCAATAACTCTTTGCAAATGTGTTAAAATTTTGACAATTTTCTTTAAAAATGAAACTACTACTAGACCTACAGACTTCCACTAGCCTCTACAAAACTTGGGTCAGCATCGCAATCATCTTCTTTTTTAACACTAGAAAAGTCAAGATCCAACTCTGCCCCAACGATATGTATATATATTTGCAATATTCATGTCAAAATGCGTTTCAGATCATCAGGAGAAAAAAAAAGGAAACTTTATTAGGTTATTAGGGGATGTAACAGAAACAAAGCTGACAAGACCCGGGTAGAACAAGCCATTACGAAGGCTTTATGCATGCTCAGAAGGGATGAGCCTGGTGTGCTCGTGTAACCAGATACTCTGCATAATGATGGGTGGGGGTTTTTTTCCATCGTGCCCGAAGGTGATTCGAATTGCAGTCAATTGTGAGGAAGAGAATTTGTTTTTTTTTAGACAAGATGTTTGACAAATACAAACAGGTATATTAGAAAACAGTTAAACATAGTCATTCAGTCACGGGAATGGCATATGGTACGAGTTACCCAAGACTTTGTGTTTTGTACGTTTATGTCATAAATAAATATAAATCTCTGCTTGACTGTATTTATGTTGCAATTTACTTTTAACACATTACACCCTAACTCGCCCGCGAATTCCCTTACGTGCTCTACCCTGACTCGCCCGGAACCGTCCGCACCGACCCAGCGTCTTTAGAAACGAAGTCTCGCCTTGACGAGACTCTGGGGCCGAGATTTTGATTTGCATAGTTATAGAAAAAGGTTTCTTCTTCCGTTTGATAACGAAACGAAATTTTTCGGGCCAGTAGTTTTAGTATTAGAGCTGATCGAAGTGCGATCGCGTTACCGACACTTTGAAAGTGTCTCGACTTGTTGAAAGGCGACACAATTGAGTTCGAGAACGGAAATAACGATGGATTTGAGCAAAAACAAACACATGACAAATCAGATGACTAAGATTTTAATGAAAATGTTGTAGCAAGAGTTTGGGGCGATTCAGATTGATCAGCGGAAAAAATCTAGAATTTAGATCTAGGGCCCAACCGCGAGGCTGAGAGTGAGAGTGACGGATTGGACACCCCGACTGAACTAAAGTTAGAACATTTCCAACAGTTTGCTCTTACATAAAGTGATATTTTTCTGAAACTACATTCAGTTTTCTTTTTAACAGGATTTTTGGAATTTCTTTAGTATTTTTAAAATGTGTTTTTTAAATGCTTGTATTCATGGGAGGTGGGTTCCTTTCCCTTGCTTAGGATCTAACAATGGACTTCCCGTCCAGGCCCTTAGGGTGTAATGTGTTAAACTGTCCAGTAACCTTTAATGAAACCGACAACCTTGTCTCTTTGTTTATCAAGACAAGATACTGTAACTTTCTTACCATCAGAGTACTCAATGATCTCATTGTACAAAGCCTGTGCCATGCCAATAGCTCCTCCAGGGAAGTAGGCGTTAAAGTGCTGGCCTTCCATCAACTTCACTCCAGCCGGTGGGTCAGAGTAGCCAGTCAGCAACGAAAATATGTAATCCTTGCAAAAAAATGGAAAGGAACAGAATTCAGTTAGCATTAGCATTCACTGGGCTCCAAGAGTACAAAGGTATTATTTATTTTGCTTCCATCCAAAAGAGTAGAAAACTAAGGCAGAGTACCCCTCACAAAACAAAACAAATACAAAAGAAAAGAAGAAAGTTAAATGCTAAAAAAAAATGTTACAAATAGTTCTGGAAAACATTCCAAACTTACAAGTAAGCATTAGCTTTGTGCTGGTTTCTCAATGTAAAGAAATTAAAAAGAGTTAACAAGAAAAGGCAGCCACGGGAATACATGTCTGTAGTACTTCTAACATGAAAAAGACCACCGGCACTTTTAAAGTCCAAAGTGTGACTTTATTCCACAGATTCCTTTTCATTTTCAATTCTAGAGGTATCTCCTATGTATAAACCCCCCCCACCACAGTATTTAATCAGAATTCTTATTACAGCAGAAACTGTCTAGGATGGCCATCCATGGTCAAGGAGAATATGGCTGTCTTGCAAAGTCTCATTATAAAGTAAAAATACAGATAAGAGGAAATAGGAAGTATTAGGCATCTTGTTTGTTCGGAATTAATTATGGACAGGAAAGGGAGACAAAAGCAGACGACACAACACGATTACAAGAGAGCAGAAAAGGTGAAACTTGAAAATACTTTTAGAGAAGAAAATTTTTTGCCACTGCCAGATTTAAAACCTGGGAGTATTGAATGAGAAGCGAACATGGTACCTCTAGACCATGAGAGCTCCCCTCAAGAACTTTAAGACAGAAAAAAAAAAACTACAACAAAAGAACAAAAATTTTTCCCTTCTCTTTCTCATCCTTTCAAGAATGTACATTTAAGAATTTCAGATACATACCTCTCCTCCATGGCGGGCCAGCACAATGTAGCTAAGATCAGGAGGCAGAGCCCCGTTGTTGGCAGCTCTTGCTTGCTCGTCATTTTTGTATGGGTCAGGGAAGTGGTCAGAAAGTTTGCCTGGTCTCTCAAACATTTCACCAGCATCATTGGGTCCATCTTCCACTAAAGCCTGTTGATAAGAATCACACAAGTTCACAGCTTCAACATAGAAATAAGGGGGGAGGAGACATTTTTTTAAAGTCTGAATTGGGTTCAAGAAAAAAAAAAAAAATCCCATTTAGCCCCAATATCCGAACCTCAAAGAAAAACACTTACTTTATAATATAAGGTACAAACTCATTGGACTAGCCCAGAAACAACAGTACATGGACACAATGTTCACAGTATGGAGAGCAGCATTATTTATCCCTAAAGAAGTGACTGCAAAATATTTTGAATGTAAACTTTTTTGGGGTATTTCTTTCCAATTCTAAGGAAATTTCTCATGTCTACTGTGCGACAGATCCATGTAAAACAGTAGTAATAATATCTATATTCTAATACCTTGCTGGAATGAAAACAAGCATAGATCTACAGGTCTTTCATTTATCATTGTAATTGAGTTATTTGCAAATTTTGTCTGGGGCAGGTCAATTAATGACACCACCATGTAAAGGTCAAAGAAAGCTTTCTTTTATGTCATCTATAATCAAATCCTCTAACAATCCTGCCTCTGCACCACGATTTGCTATGTTAAACCAGGCCTACAATTCTTTTATACATGAACGAGAGTATGAATGTTATCATGACGTGAAATGGAATTTCCCAGTCCGCACCGGCTTCTCTTGAATTCATACTGGCGATGGGAGACTCATAGAAGGCCACTATTTAGAAATGACGTTAAGTCTGAATCAGATTTACACAGCTTTCCAATGCACATGTAATATGAGCTATACAAGAAAATAATGGTCTACTCATGTTTTAAACCTCGTAAGGTTTCAAAATCTCATTTAATTAACCCGGTGCGTAAAAACCCTTCTCAACTTAAAAAAGTGGTAACCCAAGAGTTTTGAGTCAAATTAAACATAACACTCCTGATTGCTAAAAAGTTTGAAGACTCCACGACATCATATTTATTCTAAATTGAAGTTCAAAGAGGTAACACAACCCCCCCCCCCTGTTAATTGGTCCGCACCCTCCATGCAGTACAGCACATGCGCGGGATCCCGTTTGTGACACCCGGCAATGACCAGGATCGGCTTTACTACAATAATAACAAATAAAGAAGGGAAGCAAAGAGGGAAAAACAACTTTAACTGCTCACCTCCTCTGCCTCAGCCTTTGCTTCATCCTCAGTCATAATCACATTGACCAGGTTACGGTAGCATAAATATTTCATACTGTGACAGGCAGCACAAACTTGCTTGTAAACTTCATAGCCTCGGCGCACACTGGAGAAAACAAGACGATAAGGTATAATAGAAAACAGTTCAAAGATTCAATGGTTGCAGTCATATCATTATTCAGGCAAGTTTTCACCCAGCAGATTTCTAGAAGAAGAATATTTACAGAGAACAGAAATAATTTTTGACTCAATGTTATTTTGTTCTGGTTTTACCGATGTTAAAATAAATACAATTTTAGGATGCAAAAATTTCTCCCCCCCTATCCCTCCAACCATACCATTTCTGCTGTTTTTGTGATTTCTGTCATAAAAATTAAATACAAATACACAAACATATATAACAAAACAAAGAATACTGAATTGGTAGGTTTAATTTTGCCAGCAACAGTCTAGTGAATTGCCACCGATGTCTTCCTATCAGTGGACTTTTAAACAAAATCAAGAAATAGCACAAAAGGAACCCCTGCTCTAAAAATATGAAGGATTTCAAGGGGAATCGTTCTATTACAGTTAAACTGCTCTAAGTGATCCAAGGGATGTTATTCTAGTAATCGCGCTATGCCATTACCACATATGTGTCAGCTATTATTAGAAATAACAGGAAAATTTACCCTTCACACAGTTTCAGTCAGTCCAATCAACTGACACAAGTACAGAGTGCCTTGTGATTTTTCTAGATTATAATGGCATCATCTGAGAGGACAACCTGTCTAAGATGACCACTATCTCCAACAATGGGTGGTCATCTTCACCATGTTTGGCTGTATGATTTCAAGACAAAATCATCAAGATAACATAAATAACAGTCCTGTACCTAGCATGATCCAGAGCTGCTAAGTGGCCGTTGTGAGTCCAGGGAAACTTGGGTGGGTGAAGAACTAAGTCACTTGCAAAGGCAGGCTGTGCCAGGGCAGTGGCCACCACAGTGCCACCTCCTACAGCTAACGATCCTAAAAGCCAAGCCTGTAAAAAGAACAATAGAATAGTAAGCTCATACTCAAACACCCCCAGGCAGTTACAGGTGCAGGAGAAACTATGACTAAATGACCTTCAAAATAGTAAAGTAAGCATTTAGAATCCTCATGAATGCTCTAATGCGTGTAAACAGAGAACTGAAAACCCTTTGGTACATCTTAGAATTTCAAAACATAAAAGTACAAGCATTGAAAACTGAACTGAAAATGATGGTCATTTGTCATGTGTTCAAAATGCTTTCCATTAAGAAGAAAGTACTCACCACTTTCTTTCCATTTTTGCCACGCAGGGACACAAGAGTAGCCTGTAAAGAAAACAAAAACAAAAACAATATAAATCAGGCCAACATAAACACAAAATGACAAAATAGTAGCCATTTACAGAAATTGATCCTATTTCCTTTGTATGGTGACATGACTAAAATGACAGCCTAGGCAGACATGGTCAAAATGGCCCCGACCAAAGAAAAAGTCAGTATGAGACTTATTTCAAGTTTTAATTCAGTTTATATTATAATATAATAATACTGAAGTTAAACACGGCTGTGCATATATTTACTGTATCAACTGCACTTTTTAGAATTGTGATTGATTATTGAATTGCAACGAGGCCGACCAAAGACAAGGAAACAGGCATTGGATGGACAAATGGCTCATATTTAGGAGATTTAAACTTTGCATTAAATGACATCCGCCTGTTAAACACCCCAGTACATGAAATGCAATTAAAAACAAATTATCAAGAGCTGCAAAGAAAAGTTGGGTCTAGCCATCATTAAGTATGGCTCGCTCTTCAATTTATAAATTGGTCAATAAAAGATCAGTAACATTAACCATAGCATCTAGATCTAAATCTAAATCTTAATGATTGGCCTACAATTAAATCTATAGATCTATCAAGACATTGCATCATTGCATTATTAGGCTATATATATATTGCACCGGATCCTTTCTTTTACTAATCTAGATCTAGATCTAGACCTAGAAAATGAACCATCTGATCAAAATGAGACATCGTTGTCAGCTGTCCACTGACCTAACTTAGTCTAGTCTAACAGTTAGTAGAAGTATTATAACTCTCTAGATTCTAGATGATCTATATTAGGCCTATTAAGTGTCTACGTACACGGTAACCGCCATCCGGGCACGTAGTCTCAGTGTCAAGTACATTATACACGGTAACCGGGCATGTAGCCTCAATATCTAAGTACGCGGTAACCGCCAACCGGATACGTAGTTTCAGTGTCACGTACACGGTAACCGGGCAGTTCAGAACTCAAGTTCAGTTTTTGTCATCTGGTGCTGCCTTCATCCCCACCCCTCCCCCGACTGTACCTTTAAAAAAAATCAATAACCCCCTATTCTGGAGCCCTATACTTTGCAGCGCAGAGACTTTAAATGAACTTTGGTGACCCCAACAGGTACTGCGCGCAGGCACAGGTTCACTGACCGGTCACGATGGCGAGCCCGACAAGACACTTGTACAACTCTTTTTTTTTTTCAGCAAGTGACAGCACAGGACAAACATTGATTATTTTCATTCCGGTTACCGTGTACAAAGATACTGAGACTAGGTGCCCAGTTACCGTGTACGTAGATACTGAGACTAGGTGCCCGGTTACCTTGTATGTAGACACTCCGTTTGGACAAAAGAAAATGTGGCGCTCTGGAAATTGCCTTCCTGTTCCATTGGCAGCCATTTTCAAACTGATAATTTTGCGATGTAAACATGAAGATTGTGTGTTTCTTTAATTATTTTTGCCAGGGAAGCCCCAGTCACTCCCCCCCCTAGTAGCCCCCCTGAAAATGAAAACCCCCCCCGTTATGGCTAGTGCGCATTAATACACATGTAAACACAGTGGGTCCGCCAAAGTTCAATCCGGCCAAAATAAATTTTAATACAAAAAAGGCAGAAAAATATTAGAATCTAGCCTAGATCTAGATCTAGATCTACTGGCGAATGCGGTAGGGTCCACGGCCTCTTTGAACATTAGCAGACGGCCACCTCTATTCTCACCCCGAGTGAGAATAGCGCAGGCGAGTCTTTTGGCTATTCTCACCCGGTGTGCGTTCACCGTTATAGCCTAGATCTAGGCCAACCAATTTTGCGCTCACCCTGAACCACAGAATTCTACACTGTGATAACAGAAAAATTGCAGAATTCTGCGCCGTGAACAAACGTTCCATTACTACTGTTAACATAAAAGCGTACAATTTTGTCTGTGGGCAATGGAGAGAGAGAGAGAGAGAGAGAGAGAGAGAGAGAGAGAGAGAGAGAGAGAGGAGTAGCGCGAGAACTTCCGGGCAAAACAAAATGGCGACCCGCGTAGTTCGGCTCGATTCGAAAAGTGAAATAGCCATAGCATCTTTGTAGACAATCAAATTAACTAATTTTGTGCTTTAAACGTAATTTTTTCTTTGCTTTTATCCATTTGATCATCCACACCGACAGAAAGTATTCAGAAATTAGGAAAAACAGGTCTTGTTTCACACCGGGTGAGAATAGCCAACGGTGGCAAGTCTCACCTGGGGTGAGGATAGCCACTTCCTTAGCAGACCACTTGCGACAGTTTTTAGTGAAAAAAAAGTATTCCCGAGGTCTGCTAATCTTCAATTTTACCGGGTTCACTTTAGTAGGCTTTAGGTTCTAAAGGCTAAAGGCCTACAAAATTGATTTTGTCCTTAGCCTTAGCAATCACTTGTTTCTTATGTAAACAAACGGGAACGCAATTTCCAAAGAGCCCCCAAAAGGTTGGGGCATTTATCATTCCAATCTACAGCCATTACCACAGGAGAAATATTCATCGTACTCACTCAAATCTAGATTCGAAAACTCGACCCTATCATGATAATAGGCCTGTCGAATGTAAACTTCAATCCAACCCCCATTTCCGAGGGCCCAAGGACACAGAAAACAAACGAGGTTAAATGTCATTAAATGAATACTGCGCCTGCGGTTTAGTACACAGAAGTTACGTTAGAAACCAGCAAACTTGTCAGGGAAATTCTGCAATGATTTAACATACCTTCTGGTTTACAAAAGCCGGTTTCGCTCGTAAAAGTGCCTGTTTCGTGGTGCGACCAGCGAAGGCTGCCATCTTGGTTTTAACCTCAGTCCTAAAGAAAAAGTAGCACGTACTGTCATACAGTGAACTCTCTAACATTGACTTAGGTAAGGAATTACAAAATGTAATGCGCATGCCCACTGGGAATGTCTGAAGCTCTTTTATTGCTAAAAATTAATATGAAGCTGAGGCAGAATTTGTTTTCTACAATGCAAGAGCTATCAAATGTTGTCAATGACGCTATGTCTTGCTTTCAAGACACACTAAATATTGAACACACGTTGAGTTTCTTTTTAATGAAAGACTTGTGAGAACTGGCTGATTATGGTTCAAAAGCATGGCATCAGGACGTGGAAAGGTACAATATCTAAATCATATCTATGGTTTCCAAAAATCTTGAAAAGTCCCTTGCGTACACTTTCAGCCTATCAAACATTAAATAATAAAACAATACAATACAATGACAAGGCCTATGACTTTCTTGACTGGGACTTAAAATTGATTTTGCTAGGCCTTTCTATATATATATAACTTTGGTGGCGCCGACCTTTGCGTTACTTTTTAAATGAAACCACACACTCTTCATCCTTCAAAATTTAAGTGAAGGTAGCATTCAATCTAAGATATGCAGACAACACGACATGAGTAATAAAATAGCAGAAGATGAAGAGCACCTAGATCTAGATATAGATCTAGGCTACAGGATCTATTAACTCTTTTCTTACCAGGCCAAAATCCACCACTGGCCCAGGCGCTTTTCCCTGACCTATTTTTACACCCCTACCCCTCCAAAGGAAAATGTCAAAACATTCAACTAAACAAACACCCACGAACCATATTATATGGCCCATTAAACTGAAGGTTAAAAAATAATCTATCAGACAGTGGTACAATATTGAAGATTTATTCCAATTATATTAGTTTGGGGTTTCTAAAAGTCATTATGCAATTTCAAAGGTGTCATATGAAATCAACAATTTCCAGCTTTGAAAGGTCATACTAAAAAAGTACTACAACAACATATCATTCAAACTTCCCAAGTAGATCTAGACTCAAGTACTGCAAAGAAATGCTGAAAGTTATGTATGTGTACCTATTACAGAAATGAAAATATGAGACATATTATATACTGAAGTGAGGGGAGCACTTTCCTTTTCATTTTTACGTTTCGAAGGGGACAGAAAAAAGCGCTGAAATGACTAAAAATAATCTGTCAGTGCTAGATCTATATTTTCTTTGATATCAGCTAACAGGAAGTCTATTCTATTATTTCAAAAAAATGGATCGGCCAAGAATTTCGTGCCTTATTTATTAGGGCCTACTGGATTGGAATAGATGCAAGCCCCTCGAGCTGTATTTTGCGGCTCTCGGCCCAGCGAGGCCACGTCCGTGAGCCGGCAAAATGCAGCTCGCGGTAGGTAAAGTGTTATATGTCATCGTACAAGAGAGTGACAACATTGGCCGAAGCCTAAACATCAAGAAAACTGAAACATAATGGTGATAAGCAAAAAAACTCCAACCCCAACCTGTATCTAAATCAATATGGTACCACCCTCAAGCAAGTACAACATTTTAAATATTTGGGGGCCACTACATCAGCAGATGAGAGGTGTCACACCGAAATTAAAAGCTGCATTTGCCAAGAAAAAGCAACCTTCCATTAAATGAAATGGAAACAAGAAAAAGAGTACTGAAAAGTTACATAAGAGTCAATCTTATTATAGGCCTACGGATGTGAAGCTCGGACAATCGATAGACAGCTGGAAAGAGCAATTGAGATGACAGAATTGTGGTTCATAAGACGCATGCTGTGTATCCCATGGACTGCTAGAAAAACAAATGAAGAAGTCTTGGTTGAAGCAAATTGTAAATGACAGCTTATGATGATTATATACGAAAGCAACTGGCAAGGTTAATTCATTGGACACACAATGCGGAAAGAAGCATTGGAGAATTTTGTAACAACAGGCAAGTTTGAAAAATTACTGGACATGTTGACAACATGGCTGGGAACAGCAAGAAAGACAGACACCAGCGCTGCAACGCAAGACAGTGTTAAAGGTCCATGATAGCCCACGTCAGTCAGCAAGGCACTGGATGATGATGAGTGTTCAATATTCCTAAAAACATGACGGAGCCGGCTTTTCATGATTTTGAGCCAAGAATATTATTATGTATTTATTGTAGGTTTCGATCACTATTGGTACATTTGCTTTCCAATTTCACTTTCTAAAAGTGTTAAGTGTCTGGGCTGGTTTTCAGTAAAGGTTCAAAGTTGTATAGATAGAAACAAACAGTATCAACAGTGGCTGAGTGGTCACACTGGTTAGTGGACTCAGGTTCACAAAAATATAAAACAAATGTTGGTGAAGCAGTATTTTGGTGGTTGTTCTTATGTCCTTGAACAATACATAATAACCTTGCTCAAAAACTGTAGGGTGCTGCATTATAGAAATCAATGATCATGTGGCTTGCCTATCTGTGACTAGGCTGTGATTGGGTATAATTATTTTTACATTTATAATATATTAACATATTTGTGTATGCAATTGTAAAACAAATTTCCCAAGGGGGTCAATGAAATTGAATTTATTGTTTTAAAGTTTTATTCAGTTGATACATTTCAAAAAGATGTAGTGACAGCAAGATATGTTGTCGCTTATAATTAAGTGGCGACTTAGAGACGTACTGAAGCAATTCATGATGGTCTAATTAGGTCAAGCTGTGTGCTTTGGGGCTGCAACACCTAAAATCTTTCTCGGCTATTGCAAACCCTAGCAGAACCCATATTTTCTGTGGGACATCATGTCTCATTTAGGATTTGAAATTGATTATAAAAAAAGGAATACTATTTGGTTGCTATGGAAACGGTTACCTTGGATTTTGCTTACATATTTTAATCCTTTTATTAACATATTTATTAATTATTACACTTTTAATTTATTTGGCATGTAGGCCTACATAGAAAAAATCATCTAGAAGAATTTTTCGTATATATATGCTTTAGCTTTCTTTTTTTGGCCCTGAAAACTCGACTTTACGCATAACTGTGTAAAAAAAGCAAAAAATCAGGTTCTCTGGGGCTATTTATTAAAACCTACCTTGCAATTAAAAATTCTTTTATACAGTTTTTAGAACTAAGTGTTGTCAACCTCTTGTGAAAGTTACATTAAAATCGAACTAGAAACAGAGCAGAAAAATGGGATAATGTGTGGGGGAAATAGCATTTTGAGAAAACAAATATACAGCTTTAAAGGTAAAAGACCAAAATAGTTTTCTTTCCCGTAAAAACCTTCAAAACATATTTCAAACTAAAACATAGCAACTACTTTTTAACATTGACCCAGTAGAATGGAATGGGGAAGTTCCCTACTAAAACTGAAGCTTATATAGGTGGTGCAAAACATGCTTTTTGAGACAAAAAGCTGCAATCGTTTTCTAAAAATAGTCTCTCTCTTCTGCTCTAAAATCCCTTGAAACAACTCTTTAGGGTACAAAAAAGCTTGCATATGTTTTTGGACATTGTTCGGGAAATGTCCAGGAAATAATTTGTGAAAACTTCAGTTTTCTTAACCCACTTTAAAGCATGCAGGTAACTCGTTACATACTAATTCGCATGAGATACAAGACCAATTATTAAGTGGCATGGTGTTGATTTCCTCCCATTGGGTAACTTCACTGGATAGAAATTCCCTGTCTTGATGACAGTCATGGTTCCTTTAAAGTGGAGGCCACAAAACTTTTATCAAAGTGGGCCAGATAACTGAAAGAATGCGGAAAGCGGGCCAGATAATGATTTTGTTCGATACAATACACTGAAATGTTAAATGAAAGATTTGTCACATGGGCATGTTGTATAGACCTACATGTATTTGTAGAGTGAGGACTACACAAACGATGCAGCCCTCATAGTCAGGGCTATTTGATCCCTGGACAAAGAGGTACTATTTATAATCTCTTTGTCCCTGAATCAGTTGTCCTTGATGATCAGGGTTGGTGATTTTTTTGATTTTTTAAATAAAAATTAAAAAAATCGATTTTTTAAATTTAAATCAAGATTTTTAAAAATTTAAATCAGATTTTTTGGATTTTTTAATTTTTTTTTAAAATGTCGACATAGTTTGGGATTTTTGGTTGCTAAAAGTATGTTCTTTTAGTGCAAAATGCATTGTCTTTATTTTAACTAATGATTAATTTAAGCAACCGCAAAAGAAAGCCTTAATCTGCTATATATCAGTGAATTATGGCTACAGACAAAAAATGAAGAAAATGTCAGTCTAAAAGGAAGGGGGGGGGGGGGGGGGTAATTATGCATAGATAAACTTGCATTTTATTACAGTGTGTGTGTGTGTGTGTGCGCACGCTTGTGTTTGTCTAAAAAGAAAAAGAAAATGTTAATTTCAATAATGAAAAAAAAAGTAAATTGTATATAATACTGTATTATTTTACAGACTTTTAAGCATGATTATATTAGTCTACTAAACCTTATATCTGTTTAATAAAACCAAGGAAAGGAATTCTGAATGTTCAAATATGTAAAAACTGAATACATTTTTAAAAAAGTGATTTAAATCACTGATTTTTATTTTAAAAATCAAGTTGATTAAAATATATTAAAAAATCAACTGATTTAAATCAACCCAGCTCTGATTTGAATTATGGAAAAAAAAGTCAATTGAATACTGTATTATTTTACAGTGAAAGGAGGGAAAGCAGACTTTTAAAACATGATTATATTAGTCAACTTAACCTTATATCTGTTTTATGAAACCAAGGAAAGGAATTCTGAATGTTAAAATATGTAAAAACTGAATAAAAACACATTTTTTAAAAAGTGATTTAAATCACTGATTTTTATTTTAAAAATCAAGTTGATTTAAATTTAAAAAATCAACCTGATTTAAATCAACCCAACCCTGTTGTTGACAATTAAGGGGTTAATCAGTCTCTCAACAGATCATGATGATCGTGATTTGTTAGAGAATTGCATTTAGATTTTGATTTATGTCCATTTATATTATAATGAAATGTTCCTCATTTTGGTGTTCGTGTTTGAGATTAAAAAAACCTTCTGATTTGTTTTAAATCTTTACGTCGAATGGATTGAATTCCGACATGTTAGTATCTATTAAGAGGTGTTCAGTGTCTCCTCTATTCTTCAAATTGGTTTTTGGATCTTTTCTCTTTACTCTTTTTCATGTGTTTAAATACTTGAATAAGAAACTAGATATGTTCATCATAGCATACTGAATGGTTGTTCCGAACAGGTGTGAGGAGATTGATAGATTTCTGCATTTTGAACTATCATAGATCTAGTAATTGCTATTGCTGTCTTGATGAATTTTAAACGGTGGAATTTTAATATTTTACTCACTTTTCCTATAGTCACTGGGGCTTCTTCTTTGGGTGCTAAGTAATGTGGAAATGAAATATCTCTTTATTACAATTTTCTGTGGTTGCGATACAGTATGACTCCAACAATTTTCATTTGGTGTAATGCTTTATGCTTTAGAAGATCATGGATTTTGTCTTAAAATGATTAAACCTATCACGAACAGTGGATCTTTTTTTTATTTCAGACCCAAAATTATGCTTATGGGAGGCAAAGAGCTGCCCGTGGTGTCATCAGGTAAACTGTTGAACACAAACATTTTATCACTTCAAAATTGTTCTGAATATTGAACACTCTGTATTAGCATTCACGCAGCTAATGTTGAAAGAAATATATTGTTGGTGCTCAGATGGAACCTCGCCAACTCGAATTTTGGTGAAAATTGTTTGGTTTTTTTGCATCAAAAGATTCCTGATACCTTGATACCCAATGTGTATTAATGTTAAATCTAGATTCAAACTACAAATGCCCAAAACGCACTTTAAATTCTATGCAAACTTTGCAATACCCCACAAGGAAAGGTTTGATCTGTTGAACTGTGCTAATGCAAAAATATAACGAGGTTTCATCAGAGCACTGATTGATCACCATGGGTCAGTGAACTTCACCATCTTCCTCCATGTGGTCACTTACTTTATCAATTTCACTTAATTTGTTGTGGGGCAAAAAGTTCTACCCACGTTAAACACATAATAGCTCACTGGCAAGTCATTGAGACATGATAAAACGGCCCAGAGCATGTTAAACATGTGCCCTTAAAGACCACCCAAAGATAGCGAGGTTAGATTGGAGAAACCGAAAGCCTTGTGTTGTTCTGTTCTAATCTCGCTAACTATTTATCAAGGTTCATCGGAGCAGCGCTTGAGACGAAGAACCTTACTAACCAAAGGATGTTTTTGTTGCTAACTCAGATTGCACAGTAATACGCTCAGGTAAACTGCATAGGCCTACTTCTTTACAGAATCTTGTTAAAGGTCTATCAGAATACATTGACAAAATAATATTGCCGAAGTGTTAACATTAATAATGTTAGACAGTTTTTTGTCTCTCATAATTGTAGAATTTTAAAATTTGAGCTAAAATCATGAGATTCCAAAGACGATATTGATTTGCTCTTTTGAATGGGTCTTAAAATCTATAGTAAGTAAAATTAGATATTAACTAAACTCCATGATATATATGTAGGTCTATATATATTTCTTTGTTAGACTAATGAGCATTTTAAAAGTGTTTTGAATATGTAACATGCAGGTATTAAAAGACTGAACATATAGGCCTACACAATAAAACTTCACCACTTTTTTTCCCCCTCTTCCTCCAGTGACAGAGAAATCCGGTTCAAATGCTTCTCCCAGAACACAATTTTTGATGTTTTGAGGTCACGACCAGGTTGGCAAGAAGTGCAAGGGTATGAAAAGAGATGTTACTAGATTAAGATTGAGGTACATTTTTTAATGAAAATGGAAGACGTTTTAGCATATTGAGCTTAAGGAAATCATGAAGACAGAAGAAAACATCTGTGTTAGGGTGAATTTCATGTACATGCAACCCATGTTTTGAGTCCCTAAAATTGTTTCTTTGCAAAATTCCTTGCTGTAATTTCGACCTATATTATTTACTCCCTCTCCTAGGTCTGAGTCATTTTCATGAAAATTTAAAGGTTTATGGTTTCGACAGTAAACCAAGCTTGGAACATCACAACACCATGGTCCATTAGTACTTTGACCCCGGAATTTTTTAAGAATACTTTTTTATGTCATGTAATATCAGTGGAATCAACTTTCATAAGAGGAACTGTGTCTCGAATGTATGGAAAATCAATATTTTTCAATAAACACTGTGCCAAAAATACAGTTGAACCTTCCTTAATGGAAACCTGTGTAAGACAGAAACCTGTCATGACGGAATCTCCCTGCTCCCCCCTTTAATGATAAATGCCTCTCTATATAATTACTTTTATAAAATGGAAACCTGCCTAATGCAGAAATATAAAGAGAAATTCCTTCCCATCTGAGGGTTTTTACCTGTCGAAAATGAAAAATGTTGTGCCTAACCAACTATGATTTGAGCAAAGCTGTCAAGTTTGGTTCCATCGGCTCTAACCTTTACACTATGCCGCCAGGCGAGTAAGGGGTGTAAGGGTGCGTTTTGGGTGTATGTGTTGCCCCATCCACGTGAACCCTTAGCAGTGCAGATGGTTAGAGTGGTGTGAGTGTGAAATCTCACTAGTGCCTGTGCTCTCTTAGCACTTCAGCACAGAAACTTTCATGGGTAGCCAGAGGCCAGAGATGTGAAATTAGTTTGACCAATGCCTGTGGCCCTGATCATATGGCGAGTTGAGAAAAGAGAACCTCTTATCGTTGTAACGTGCATGGAAGGGGTAGCATTGGATGACTGTCTTATTACACCGATGGATGGAAGCAAAGGAAACATTTCTGATTTTAATAGATCAAACAGTGGTCTCATGAAATGTAAGCACTTGTGAAAATAAATAAGTAGAACTGACGCATACCATAATCAGAAAGGACAGCACTTGAGAGCTTGAGAGGTGTGAAGTTTTGAACACTGCTTGCTGACCGGACTAGTGACCTTTGCTCCCACCTGTTGGGCCTCTGAAACCACCCTCCCCACCACCACCCCCACCCCTTGCATCTCCCCCCTAGTTCCACTGTCTTAGACGGAATTTTTTTCTTGCTACTTTGTGATTTTGTCTTACATAGGTTAAACTTTAACCAATTTATTGTGAATTGTCAGTATATTTGCTAGGAAGCTTTTTCTTTCTTTCCAGAGACAATGAGTGGGATTTTTACTGGTGTGATCGTGAATGGCTACATGCCAACTACGACACAATGTTCCTACAGGAGCATCAGAAGATTTTACATTTCAGGAATCATTATGAGGTAATTATCAAAATATTTTGTCTGTTCCCTTTTTCTTTCATGAGTGCCTACCAAGTTAAGGCCAGGGTCTGTTTGGTAGTTGCTTACAGACTAGCTATATCAAATTGAAATTATTTTTTTCATAGAATTACTCAAATAGTATGTAAAATTTGATATCGGTCCTTGTTATTCTTTTCATTTCCATTGTTTTACTTAGAAGTATTTATATAATGTTAATGTATTTTTAAAATCTGTTCTAATGTTGTTTCTTTCAAGCTCACAAGAAAAAACTTGATGGTAAAAAACCTGAAGCGTCTCCGCAAGCAAACTGAAAGGGAACTAGGGAAAGTCGAGGCACAAGCGTAAGTCTCATATGTTTGGCCTATTATAGGCATACTTTTTTTAAAAACTCTGGTCACTTTAACAATATCGTTGATACAGTATTTACCTGTCGTTAGAAAAATTTTTAAAACCTCCACAGAATGCTGTCGACCTGTCCAATATGACCTCCCACTGTTGAGGAGAAAAGTGCTCATCTTAGACAGGTGGTCCTCGCAGAAAGTATCATTATAAAAATTTAGATAAAAATGCAAGGGGGTTAGTGGGAAGTGGTCTTTTAAACAGATGATTGTCTTGGACAGGTGATTTTAGAGCTGATTTTACTGTATTGTAATGTCACTGTCAAAGCTGTTCTTCAGGTGGAACAGCTTTTGACTCTTTTTTAATTAAAAACAAAACAAAGATACTGAGGGATGGAACAGAATACTGGTACATTTTTCTTTTCTTTTACTACAGATTTCAGAGCTCAACAATGTTAAGTGGAAATATGAGAAAAGTGGCTGTTCTCTATCTCTTATTCAATTGGAATGGGGCAGGGAAGTGAATCTACTGCTTGCTAACTTATTCACTCCTGTTTTCAGTGAGTTTCTGTGGCTGAGGTTTTGCGTCTGAAAAAAAATGTGTATTGTGATAATTCAATTATATGTCAATATGTTAGGGAATTGTTTTTCTCCTCTATCCATATTGATTTTCTTTTTCATATATTTTCTTGACAGATTTGACTTTTTCCCCTCCACATTCGAGTTACCAGTGAGTACTAGAGCTTTTTATATTTTGTATAATAAGTTGGGACATTCAACACCGAAATCAATTGTCATGCCATTTCCTTCTCTTGTGACAAACCCTTTTATTATTAAAGCTGATACATATTTTGAGTAACGTAAAGTTACCTTTTCGATTTTCATTTTTTTTTTTTTTTCATGGAAGTGGATATTTTATACGGCAGGCCGTCGAAAAATCGAAAGTGATAATTCCACGGCACATAAATTCAGCCAATCAGAACATCCGGACTATATATAATTAAGCCTATAATCTCTTTTTCCATAAGTAACCCATTATTATAGATACAATTTAAGATACCTGTATGTTTAGTTAACAAAGTTTATTCTTTGCTATCATTTTGTGCATTATGGACAATGATGAAATGTTTTGTGTGATTATAACGAGAGTGAGAGATGCACATTTTATTTTGTGCAAGCAAAATGGAGAGAAGACTGGGTTTTTTCCGATAGTAGGGTGCCCATTTGCGAATGGGATCGGGTCGGGTCGGGTAGGTATCGTCACCCGACTCGTCGCCTGGAAAACAAACACAATTCTTGCATTGATACACTTCAAGCAGAGCCTATGCCGTCGAAATATCAATTCCAATTTTTAGACTCAAGACAGCATACCTTATAGGTATCACTTCTGATGTTCAGACAGCATGCCATGGAAATATCAACTACGATTTTCAGACGGCATGCCGTCGAAATATCGCTATCCTTTTTTCATTGGGATTGAGTAATGCCTCTAGTATTGCGCTATGCTTGTCGCTTGGTTGTGATGTGTTCCACAGGTATATATAAATTTGAAAGGCTGATATTTTCCCTCTTTTGATAGATCAATTCTTAGATGATGGTTAGAAGTCAGATCGTAGAAAGTGCTACCAGAAGGTATTTTCTTATTTGCTATAAACTGCATGTTCTTTTTAGCATTAATCTGTTGTTTTAAAAGCTAATCCGCTCTGTCGTACAGTATTTTGTCTCACATTCTTTAATGACTATGGTTAATTATTTTGCTAAGTATTAATTAACGATATTAGTGAACTCCATGTTTTATTTTTACCATCAATTTTATCTTTACTTGTTCAGTCGGAGTACCATATCTTTGTGGAGGAATTCAAACGCAACCCTGGAATGATATGGATTATGAAGCCAGCTGCCAAATCTCAAGGGAGAGGAATTTTTCTCTTCCGCAAATTAAAGGATATCACAGACTGGAAGAAAGTGAGGAAAAAAATAACATCTCAAGAAAATTAATTATTTATGCAGCATACTGCAATGTCATGTCAACGCTTTGATAAATTCTATCACAAACCAATAAATGGGGAACACTTGACTTGCTAAAAGTTATTTTAAGTGTGCTAAGCCCAGTTCCAAGTAATCTAAACTGATTAGGAGGCTGGTTGCATTGACCCTGTCTGTCCTTACTAATTCAGGCTGTGAAGAATACATCCCAGTAGAGAGATGGAGATACTGGTATAGGATGAAATTATTTTCCCTTATGACAAGTTATGACAAGCATCATCATCATCAATGCCTTTCACCCCTGGCAGGGTATAGGCCACATATAAGTTCCTTCCATTTATCTCTGTCCTGAGCCATCCTTCCAAGCTCGTTTCCAAGTGAGCTTCATCTCTCTCATGTCCCTTTCCACGTATCTCCTCTATGTTTCTCTTGGCCTACCCCTGCCTCGTGCTCCTTGTGGGTTCCACTGCAGTGACTGTCTTGTGATGATTCCACTGGGCTTTCTTAATGTGTGTCCCATCCATCACCACTTTCTTAGTCCTATTTCTACTTCTATATATCCTTTTGTCCTGTCCGTTCTCCACAGCTCTTCATTTCTTATTCTTTCCTGCTCTTAATTCTTAGAATACTCCTCATACATCTGTTGATGAAAGTCTGGACTTTATTCAGTACTGTCTTTGTTGTCTTCCAAGCTTCGCAGCCGTAGGGGAGCACAGACTTGACGTTGGAGTTAAATAGGCATGTCTAAATAGGGCAAGGTGAAGAGAACAGAAAATGAAAGATGCAGAAATTTTCCCTCAGCTACTCTATATATTCTGATCACTTCTGGGCCTCTATGGAATAAAAGTCACAAACCATTTCTCTCTCTCTCTCTCTTTCTCTCTCTCTCTCTCTCTCTCTCTTTCTCTCTCTCTCTCTCTCTCTCTTTCTTTCTCTCTCTCTCTCTTTCTTTCTCTCTCTCTCTTTTTTTTTCTCTCTCTCTTTCTTTCTCTCTCACTTTCTTTCTCTCTCTCTTTCTTTCTCTCTCTCTTTCTTTCTCTTTTTCATTCTTTCTCTCTCTCTCTTTCTTTCTTACTCTCTCCCCCACTCTCTCTCTTTCCCCCTCTCTCTCTCTCTCTCTCTCTCTCTCTCTCTCTCTCTCTCTCTCTCTCTCTCTCTCTCTCTCTCTCTCTCTCTCTCTCTCTCCCTCTCCCTCTCTTTCTCTCTCTCTGTCCTTCCCTCCCTCCCCCCCCCCTCTCTCTCTCTCTCTCTCTCTCTCTCTCTCTCTCTCTCGATACTGTCAGTTTCTCTCCGTAATCAGATTTCTTTCTTGTTCTTCTCTCATGCTATTTTGCATGAACAGCTTTGATAAAAGAAAAGATTCACCTCAAGTTTATATATATTCAGTCAATTCAGGATACAGTTGGAATCTTGTATGCTTATAGAATTTGTTAAAGGCACAAAGTTAACCAGTTTGTCAAAGAGAGTAATCCGATCCGTTCTTAATGTTTGTTTCAGGGAGAATATCAGCCTTTGGGAGATCCCAATGCTCCTAAAGATATACCAGAAACATATGTTGTTCAGCGTTACATTGAGAACCCATACCTCATTGGGGGGAGGAAATTTGACATCAGGATATATGTGCTTGTTGTATCAGTAAGTCTATTTCACTTATTTCAAGCAATTGTTGAAAAAAAAATTACTAATGATATTAGACACTAGATAATTAATAGATGATTTGCTTCAAATAAAGCCCCTGATGCTTTGACCTGATTAGCTCCTCAGTTGGAATAACTCAATAAAGAGGATGTGCCACTGTGTATCAATCAATGGTGAAGAAAAAAGTGATGAAAGTCCTCATGACCAAGTGAAAATTTTTTTTAACACCCCCTACAAATTAGACATTATTGTTATATCGTAATTATTCTTACATAAGTTGTTTTCAAAGTCAGCAAATTGTGTATTTTTATTTTCCCCAGTACAATCCTTTGAAGGTGTGGCTGTATAGAGGAGGATTTGCCAGATTCTCAAATACCAGATTTTCCATGGATTCCATTGAAGATACATGTATCCTCTTCTTCTTATTCAATATAGGAGAAATGGCATTTGAATACCGGTGCTTTACTCTTTTATTTTAAAATATTGTCAAGAACAATGACCAGTATATGATACCCGGTGATGCGTTATTAAACAATTTCTCTAATTTAGAATTTTACATCTATTCGATTAGTTTGAACAATTGCCAGACAATTTGAAATATACATAGCCTTAAACACAAACTGCAAGTTAATCTCATAATCTGGAAAAGTACATGCCATGAGCAGATTGTCTTGGCGAGAAAACAGATAGAATTGGTAGTTACAATTTCTATTTTGCACATAGGGTTGAACTGGGACTGTTATTTTATTTTATTTAGGCTTAGATATTCATTCTGTCCAGGGTGTCTGTTATTTTTAAAATCTTGCTTTAACTGGTGTTGATTCATAAAGAGTGTTAAAGGAGTTGGTTTGGGGGTATTCAATGCGCTCTTCACTCTATCAGATAAAAAGCATGAAAAGAGTTTGTACCGTGCTGGATTTAAATCAAAGCAGGAGGGGAAGAGGTTTGGGGTTCTCTTTTTTTTAGCAACAACATGCTTATTTTGTGAAAGGATAGTTTATCAGGTGTAATATCAGTGTGCCTGGATGTTATAAAAATGCATGCAAAAAATTCCAAAATAATTTTTTTAAATACGTCATGATAACATACAATAACATGAACAATGACAATGTTGATATGTCACATTGCTGACAGAGGCTGCTCGAAAGGGAGGCATTAATCCCTCAAAAGGCATGAAATTTAAAGATAATATAGAAGTAAAAACTACTGTGTTCAGTTAGTTCTCCTTGACATGATCTAGACATACATCTCACTAATGTGGCGGTTCAGAAAACGTCTCCTGATTATGATCCAGAAAAGGGCTGCAAATGGTCTGCACAACAACTTAGGAAGTACTTGGTGGCTAAGCATGGCACAGCAGCGGTAAGTTGCATGATACATGACAGACATCTATCTGAAACGTGTATCATAACCGAGAAAAAAAAAAGAAATAGCTCTCTTCAAAAACAAGTCTATTATGTTCATTTTCAAAGGAGGCTCTAAACAACTCAGTCACTGCATCAATAGTTTTTACAATTCTCAAACTTTGTAATAAGTTTGTTAGTTTACTGCTTGAAGTATTTTGCACGGTGATCAAGTGCATTGCAGTCACCTTGATATACAAACAAACCAGTGTAAGACAGCCACACTTTGTTGAAGAGAAAAGTGGCTGTATAAGACAGGTGGCCATCTTAGACAGGACTGCTGGAAATGAAGAAAACAACTATTGCCCTCTGAAGCCCCAACTGGAGGTGGTCACAAGCTTAGGACTGCCATAAGGCTGATTAAAATGTTTTGGTCTTTTTTTTCTTTCAAAAGGGGAGGGAGGGGGGAGAAGGAATAAGAAGGTTTCTTGTCGTTGTTGGTGAGGGTTTTTTAAAAAGTTTTATGTTTGTTTCTTTGTTTTGATAGGGGTTTTTTTTGGGGGGGGGGTGGGGGAGGGGGGTGCTGTTTTTTTTTACATTCCCTCCAGAGTTCCCAACTGAGGTTGGTAGCAGGACCATTTTACACAGTGAAATTGTATATTATATGTGAGCCTTTGCCAATAGGTGTGGGTTTCTTCATATACTTTGCAAAATCCTTTCCTATTCCAATAAAAATGGTCCTACAGCTTTGAAATTGATATATATGTTGTGCTTAATATGATGTTTCAGCTATGGGAGCAGAGAGAGAAATAGTAGTCGGGCCATCAGAAGAAATTTTACAAATATTTTTAGTTCTGATATCGATGTATTTTTAGAATGCAAAACGTGACGTGTTGAGTTCATACTTTTTCAGTCGTCAAGTTCAACAATGAAATAATTGCTGAGAAACTCGTCCTTCTACACTTTTACTGTTATAACTACATTATTTGTGGTGCTATATCAGGAATAATGATATCTGCAGCTGTTTTTTCTTTGTGAGCCTTCTAGATTTTCATTCTCAAGCATAACTCGATTAGTCATTTTGCAAGACAACTTCGATTCCCCGTGACTTCGTTTTTATCTGCCAGTTTGAGGCCCTGGAACAAGCATAATATCGTTCAAAGTTTACTCTCTGCCCTGACTGATTCCGAGGCTGTGACGGTGCGTAATTTTGCAGTAAACGGAAATTCCACGATGCCTCGTGCTCTGTCATCATTTGTTATGCTCGAAAGAACAAATCAGAAAACGAGAAATAATACATGCATCGTTCCTGTTGATCCATTTAAAGCGCATTGTTGTGTGATGCAAGACGACAAGAAGAATCACGATTGATAAAACGAATTCATTTAAGTTTTCTTTTGTTGTCATCAAATCTTAACATATGTTATGTTAGAGAAAAGCTGTTATGTCCGAAAAATGTTTCCCCACTTTTAATTACTTTTAAACTGAGTAATGATTAACGTCGCACTGCGCTCCAATGGTCAAGTAGTGGTAGATCTAGATGTGACCACGCGTGTTTGGCTAGATGTCAACGAGAGGGGAAAATTTGATGATATGTTCCAAAATGATGACAAACATTTATCCATTATGTGTCATCGTGGTTATGCACGAAAGATGTTTGGTATTTTGCATAAAGTCATGGTAAAATGTGAATCAAGTGGCATTTTTTCACTATTAGCATGCATTATGAGTCAAACTGAATCTCCTAAGTTTTTGTTTACCAAAATTTTCAAAAAATTAATTAAAATATGAAAAGGGAAAGTTTTTCGTTTCTTCCGGACATAACTATGATGACACAAATGCGAACGCAAAGACTTTCACAATTTCTTTTTTCTGCGATTTTATATGATCTTCATGCTTATGTTTGAAAATTAAATCAATGAGAAAACTATCAAAATAGTCGTATATTCCATAAATTACTTTTCAGGGTATTTTTCATTTTGTGTCATCATGGTTATGTTCGAAAGATATTTGATATATTGCGGAGATGTATAGTAAAATGTGAATAAAGTGGCATTTTTTCAAATTGAATCTTCTGAATGGTCGTTTGTCCCAATTTTCATAAAAGAAATCAAGATATGAAAACGGAAAGTTTTTCATTTCTTACGGACATGACTGTGATGACACAAATATGCAAACACAATGGCATTCAGAATTTCTTTTTTCTGTGATCCTCACGATTTTATATGCTCTTCATGCTTATGTTTGAAAATTAAAGCAATAAGAAAACTGTTAAAATAATTTTGTAAGTTCATATTTTTTAAAATGTACCATCATAGTTATGTCCGAAAGAATTTGACTTGATGTTATGTAATTTCAGTTACACAGCTTAGCATGTCATCTGTAGGTCTGTAAATACATGTTTTTGTAGGAAGAGATATACATGAATAGAAAAATTCAAGTAAAAACGAAATATTAAAAACTTAATCATCAACCCTCTGAGCTACATTTTAGGTACCCTCCTATTGGCAAAAGCTCATATAAATAAATTCAAGGGGAAAATGGAAAGTGGTGATTTATACAGGTGGCTATATTATACAGATGGTCGTCATAACAGGTTCGACTGTAGTTATTTATTGCTGCTACATGGGTTTTTTTCGTTTGTCAGGGAAGTGGCAATACTGAAACTGTGGACATAAAATTGATAATTTTAGTTCTCTGTAACATCACCTTGTAGGATTGCAAGATTAAAAAATGTGCAGTTGCCATTTCTTATAGCTCTGAAGCACATTTTTTTTTTTTGGCTGGTATCGTTGATGCCTGTGGTCGGCCCTCATTTTTTATCTCTTTACTTATTTACTGCAAGCTGTTGAGTCTTTCCAGAGGTTGCTTCACCAACTTACAAGTTTTGATGTTCTTTTTATCATTCTCCTTCCCTTACAGATTTCAAAGACATTATCGCATTTGAAAACTTCCTTCTTGCTCACAATAAGAACATTCTTGTCTCTAAATTTATTGCAACTTTCTAACATCAGCTTTGCTTACTGTTGTAGAACTAACCTGTTGCTCAAATGTTATGATTCGTATGTTGTTTTTCTTATTATTTTAGAGCCTGCAAATTCTGATTTCTTTCTTTTGAGATGCATGATTTATTTAAAAGTAATTGTTGTTTTTGAATTTTATGCCAGTGCCTCAAAAGCAAAGGTAGCCTATACATGTACTAGTGTTACAGATCTTTTAATATTTCTCCCTTCAATGTTAGAATAGAAGAAAGTTCTTGTACTTGTTGATCCTCTTTTTTTAACTTGGTAATAAGAAATTAATATGATTAACAAGACATATGTGAGCTTTGTGCTGTGAAAGCATTTGCATTTATATTGATTTATACATGTTGTGTAGCTAAACCTGCAACTGTTGCTTCTATTCATCCCAGGTGAAAGTGCTGAATTCAGCAATTGATAACATTATCATCAAGAGTCTACAGAGTGTTCAGAAGATCATCATCAATGACAAACACTGTTTTGAAATGTATGGTTATGATGTCCTTCTTGATGACGCCCTCAAACCGTAAGTGTAATGTTCTGCGTGGAAATGTTTTAGAAGCTAGCAAAGCCCAATCATTGCTTGTTTATGGAAAGTATTTGAATGAAATTGAAATGGTGAATGTCTTTTGAACAATTGAAGGCCTTCTTTTGACCAACATTTTTTCATTGGAAATGAGGTTGTTCATAGTTTTTTAAGATATTACTTCATCTTTTGCTTTGTGTGTTCTCACATTGTTTATTTATTAGTATGTATTCCAACTTGTCTGAATAGGAGCACCAATTTCCTTCTTTCAAATGATTTTACCTCTGAAGAAAACAAAGAAATGAGGTTTTTTATTTTAGCTTGTTCACTTTCGTCTGTCCATGGTATGAAAGGGCAAAACCAAATTGATGTGTTTAATTTTCTCAGGTCTTAACATGCTGGTTGAAAATTTGGATGATTAACAGAATATAAAAGCCGATTAATGAAGGACACTGCAAACTAAGATTCTGACACGTTTAAACACTAAAAGTATAAAAAGTTTATCTATTTTCATCAACAATACACTTTATTGCACGTTTGTGAAACACTGTCCAACAGATAGATAAGTACTTTTCAAGACTCACATGGAGATCTAAACAATCTTGTGAGCAAATCTACTAGCTTACACTGAAGAAATATAGAGGCAGGGTGGTGTTGCTGTTCCAAAATGAGCAATATGTCGGCTAGGTTACTGTAAATCATTTATAATAGTAATCTTGTGCACAGACCCAAAGTGCTGTGTTTTATACAGGGCCCATATAAAGAAACCTTTCCATTACTTGATCAAATCTTTTTTTTAAATGTGTTTGTTTAGTCGCTGGCTTACAGGAAAGCCTAGCAAAGCTAAGTGCACAATGACAAATTAAATGAGCTAGAATTTTTTTCAACATGGACAGGCCATAGAAATGAGATATCATACTAGAAACTGTATTTAAAAGATTCTTGTGGGGAACTTTACCAAATGTTTTCAACTATGGGAGGTTGGTAGATGCTTTGGTGTTGTCTGCTTCTTTATATTTTCTTTTGGTGTTATGTCTGTCCTAATCTGATGCCGATAACATGGGAATGTTATCATACAGACTCGCCATACACTACAAATCATTTCATCTTTTCAGATGGCTCATTGAGATCAATGCCTCACCATCTCTGACTGCCAGCGGGAAGGAGGATTACCAACTCAAATGTGGACTGCTCAATGATGTTTTGAATGTTTTAGACCTTGAAAACAGGTAATTTGACAAGTCAGCTTGAATGACTGTGGGGGGAATAGGGTGGAGGGTTTCACACTGTTGATTGTAAAGTGCATGGAGCTTGCTGTTGAGTGGGGATATACGCTATAATATTATAAATGCTATTTATCTATTATTTATCATGTATTATTACTTTTAGAATCTGCTTTTGTGGTTCAATAGTTAGCTTAAAGAAACTTTAAGTTGTTTTTTGTATTTTTTTGTATGTGTTTTACGGTGCTTGCCACTGCATAAGGTCATATGAGCGCGCACTGTTGGCTTTCGGGATAAACATGTTGTGTTATACTAAATAAAATTTGATGGATGTTCAAATCTAATCATGTTTGTGGCTAAGGATTGACAAAATATTATTACTTCAAGACTTTAAATCATATACTTTTAACAAATGTTGTTATTTATTTCAGACTGAGCGGCAAGGAAAAACGTGTGGGTGGATGGGATTTGTTGTGGGACGATGGGCCTGTATTCATAGAGGAGATGACACAGGAGACTGGACTGGCCACTTATATGAGTGTCAACTCATTCTTAGGTCAGTTAGTAGTTACTAGCATAAGTCACAAACTCATGCACGCATGCACACCCTGACACACACCACATACTACACACACACACACACACACACACACACATGCACATACACACACATACACACGCACACGCACTCACATGCACACACACACACACACACACACACACACAATGAGGCACACATGTATTATAATTATGTTATATGTAGCTAATGACTTTCTTTGATGATATATTTTTCTCTGTGTTCGTGTTGGTTTCTTTAGTTGTGAATTTGATGTTGTATTGAGAATTTTATCAATCTATGTACACTTAAAATTTTTTAACTCATGTGACCAAAAATTGCAGATAAAAGAATGTAAATGTAGAGTGTAGAGCGAAACTGTCAGTAGAAAATGTTCTGCTTACCTAATGAATACTACAGAGTTTACTCTCACCAGCTTCCTATTTATTTCAGTATGTCAGTCTAGAGTGTGTGGACTTTCTTACCTTGCTCTTTGAGAATGAAATGATATTGACAATTGTAGGCCTACTACTTTCACCTTAACAGAATGTGTAAATTAGAGTAAAGCTGTTGGATACAGTCTAAAAAAGAATATCAATACTAATGTTTTGACAGTTCATCATTTTAAAAAAAAGATAATTCAAAGTGAATACAAGAAAGAATTCCTTTTCTCTTATGGGCTTCAGTTCATATGCATGAAAAAGTCAAATAAAAACAGGCTGGGTGGTGGGGTGTTTTTTTAGGCGGGGGGGGGGGGGGGGGGAGGAGCGCTCTTACCCAAGTGTATTTACGATGGGAGAAAGGAGGAAAGGGTTCTGTGTGTTCTGTGTTTGCCCTGATGGAAAAAAGACTATAATTTTCTCAGTTTAATGTTTTAAAATTTTCTGCAAATGGGTTTCTTTGAAGAATGTTTCTGATATGAATATCTGATCGAGCACATATACAGTTGAATCCTGTTATAACGAGAGGGAGGGGACTGGTACGAGCAGGATTCTCGTTAAAAATAATAAATTCATGGGAAATAATAAAGTAGGCCTAATCTATGAGTTTGGTGTTCTGTTTATTTCGTTTTGTTATCTCCCCCGATTATGATTTTGTTCAATATGACTTCTAGGTCTTACTTGATCAAATCGAATCAGGTTTCTTTCTCTAGCGCTAGCAATGTAGACAGCTCGGTGTTGGCGATCTGAAAGAAAGGGCTATAAGCTAACTCGCCTGCTGTGCTGTGCCCCACCCCACCAAATCGTGTGGTGCGTTCCGTCTGCTTGCGCACTTTGGGTACACTCCACACCCTGCCCATGTCGTACCCTCGATCTATCCATCACAGCACTCCGCATCGGAGAAGTGAGAGACATGGTAGGCCTGGATAATCTAGACTAGGCTAGCCTATCACGCGATGCGTTCTGCTTGTCTGCCCATGCCACACCCTCCCCACTCATTCGCTCCGGCCTTCATTGTTGGCACATGTGGGCGGGCTCTCCCATTCCTTGTTTCGCTCTGGAGTTGTAAGGTCCTTGGTTTAGCTAGATCACAGACAAGTTTCTCAACTAGCGAGGTCTTACATATATATGTATAACTGGCCTATGCGCTGTGCACAGCAGCAGCAATATTTCGCTATAACCGACTCTGATTGCGCTATAGCAGTATTTTATTTACAAAGATAAAAAAAGGGGAAAAAACTGGATTTTAGAATAGTGTCTTTATAACAAACTTCTCGTTATTTCAGGACTCATTATAAGTGGACTCCACTGTATATATAATAGAGGCCGAGAATAGAGGTTTGCAAGAAATGTTTATTTAAAACAGTAAGCCTACTTTTGTTTTTGAAAGTGTTTTACGGCACTTGCAACACAATAAGGTCATATAAGTGCGGAAGATCAGAGGTGTTACGAGAGAGTAACAAACACAAAAATGAAGGAGAAATAATGACGATAGATGTTTAATAGGAAAGAAGAAACAAACTACACCACAGCAGCCGCCAACCACCCACAAGCACTGAAGAATAGATAAGTGGTTTTGCATGCGCCCATGCTTATCCAGGTTAATGTTTCATTAGTGAACATGAGGAAAATAAAGAAAAATAAAGTATTCGGAAGGATCAGTGTTGGTTTTCTGTCTGCACAAATGTTCTCACCTAAAGATTGTGTTTACTGGACAGTTTGTACAGAAAATCAGAGGGGCTCTCGTGGCCTAGAGGTTAAGGTGTTGGCCTCTCATTCAAAAGGTCCCGGGTTCGAATCTGGGTAGCGACCAAAAAATTTTCTTCTCTAAATTTGTCTCCTTTCACCTCATTTCCTGCTCTCTAGCAATGTTCTGTTGTCTGCTTTCGTCTCCTCTTTCTGCCCCCATCCCCTCACCTCCTTTGCCCCTTCCTCTGGGCTCCTGATTCTTTCTGCAGCCTTTCTACTGCTACTCCTTCGCTTCTTCTTACTGCTGTCTTTCAGCCACATCCCTAATCTTCTGGTAGGAAAGATCTACACCTAGCCTTCTCGGACTAGGGCGAAAAATCTCAGAGTGCAAGTTGCGCACGTTAAAGATCCCTTGGTGGTCTAAAATCGATGAGTAGGCTTTGGCCGCCACCCGGGCAAAATTCAAAATTTCCTACCAACTGAAAATATTAGGTGTGTCCCACGCGCTCATATGACCTTATGCAGTTGCGAGCGCCGTAAAACACTTTACGAAAACAAAAACAGAAAATCAGACACTGTACTCGGGGGGGGGGGGGGGGGGGGGGGTGCTTTTTGGGAGGTTTTCCTATTTTGTTTTTCATCTAGGTTTTGAATTCATGATCTGAGTTTCATATTGTCTTGTGTTTCAATGAAGTAGTGCCTCTTTTCACATTTTGTGAACGACTTGAATTTTTAAAATATCTTTAAAAATCACGAATTCAAGTTGTGCATGTAAAAAAAAAAATAATGATGTGCAATAGCTACATGCACAGTGAAGAGTGAATGTATCATACTCTTGAGGCCAGTGTGAAACTATAGTCTTTCTCCTTCTTTTTCTGATAGCATCCTGAAAGCATGAAAGGTGCAGTGAAATGCACATCTTTTTGAAGAGACATTTTTTCATTATAATTGCAGGTTGTGAGAACACCCGCAAGGAGCAGCTACGAGAGATGTACACCTTGGCACAAGCAGTAAAGAAATGATGGTTGAGGAGCACCAGTTGTGTCAATCCATTTCAAGACATTAGGAAAAAAAAACTCAACATGAAATCTTCAGCATTTGTGAAACTGATTCATTAAAGTTAAAGACCAGTCATGGTGTTGTAGTTGTACATCTAAAGTGAAACGCAATATTGGAATAGGAAGTGTTTATCGAAGAACAAATACATGTTATTCAAAACTTTAAAAGGATCTTAGCCATCCTCACCTAAAGGTCCGTTTAGGAATGTGCAAGCGATACTTTCTTGATTAATTCAAGGCCGCACTTGTTATTAAAAATGCCCCTCTTTTTTAAAGACAAAAGTTTGTATTTCATAAACCTTCTGTTAAGAGGGTTAATTACGATGGAATCTATGCTTATCAAAAGTATTGAAAATGAAAAACAGTTTTACATATGTACCGTACAGTGAAACTCATATTCAATTGACTCAAATCAAACAAAAACTCAGACTTAACAAAAGGAATTGGGTTCCCTGTTTTTTTCAATTCATGAAATTCAATAAAAATAACTCGGATTCAACGAACACATAAATGAGCAAGCTCGGATTCAACTAAGTCACTTGCAGGGCTACCTCCGCGGATGTGGCTTCTCTCACTTTTCTCCCGCAACGAACCTTATCTATGGCATCTGCATGGTGAACCATTATTCACTTAGCTTATTGTTCATACCTTATGCGATCAATCAGTCTTCTTCCATACCAACACATGCGTTGTTATCACATACGCACATGTCTTACTGTGTGTCAGGGTCGGATGGGCAGCCAGCACACATTTGACTGTGTGTGCATGTGTCTGGCAGGAGGGGACACAAGCTGTCCAGGCATGGAACATCAGTAGAGATCTATTAATGCGTCACAGTTATTTTTTGCCCTGGCTACTGAACAATTTTACAATGATAAGCTAGTCTTGACATAGATCTATGTAATGAATTACATATTAGAATGTGGAATCAAACATTGACGTATGGCTAGGTTTTACTCAGCAACATAACTTGTTGGGCAAACATTACATTATAGATGATAGATGACACAGGAGTACAATAGAGGAATCAACCGTTTTACAGTGTGTGCTTGGTAGAGTTCAATGTATTTTCCTGGAATTTTTCAGTATTTTTTCGGCATAGCATCAAAGAAAAGATTGTGCCTCTCGTTTGAAACAAAACTACTTTTGATTGAGAAAGTCGAATACATTATTCATTACTGCTAGATGCCTGTATTTATTTACACAAAAACCTCATGTTTGCTGTAAAGAGTAACGACTTCATTGAATCAGAGTTCCACTGTATATCAGATTGTGTAAGATTTTTTATTAAAGCTGAATTAGGACCATTTCATTCAATAATGTTAATGCTCCTAGAGTGTATTCAAGTAGTACATCCTTACAATACTCATGAGGTAGACATCCCTCTACCTTTAATGAAAATTACTCTGAACAAAAACTTTGCAAGTTCTTTGACTTGGGTGTTTTAAATTGATTGCTCTCATTGTTACAGTCTTGATATGGGCCTATATTTTTTGGGTGCATTGATGTATATGTACCACATGCAGTATTATCGTTGAGGTGTCAAGGTTTATAAAATAAAAGCAACAATGTAATCTTACTCCTTAGACCGCAGCATGTTAATGTCATAATAATAATAATAATAATAATAATAATAATAATAATAATAATATATTTATAAAGCACATATAATGTATATCTCTCTACTCAAAAGAAGGCTCTAGACCCACTTTATTATTATTCTGATAGATACATAACTTTCTAAACTTCTTAAGAAGCATTCAGAACAAGGTGCCATTTTTACAGGCACTTTACCAACATACTATCAAGATCTTTTACCAATAAAGCCAGGTACCCTTTCCCACCTATGTGGCGTTATTAAAATAAAAATAAGAGTAAATTGTCTTTACCAAGGATACAATGTTGGAGTGAACAGGGAGGCAGATGGTTTGCCAGTCAGGCAGATAAACACTAGGCTTCTTATGCCACACATGCTCAGTTGTTCATCCACTATTTAGCAATTAAAGGATAAGGCATATGAAATATATATGCCTTCTGGTTGTTCAAGATACACATTACCCCGGTAGTACATGTTTTAGTTGTTGGCTATATAGCCTACTTTTGCCTTGATGTACCAAAGTCCATTAATGACAATATTTTTTTTCTCTCACTTTTCAGATATGCTGCTAGAGCTTTGCACTAAAATGCGGACTTGCACTTTAACCATGGGACATGAATAAGCGTTATGATTGAATTCATAATTTATTTTTATATACACAATGTCTTAACCTTATTTTTGACTCTCGTCTCATGCTTAGAATCCTTGTCCATTCGAACTCCAAAGGTTACAATTTGTTGCCATTTACTTGTCATTGCATCATATCTTGCCATGTAATTGTTCACTAATGTTTTACACACCATGACCTGAAAGGAGACCAATGTATAATATGTGTAATCAATATGCCATATTTTTACAGAAGAGTATTAATATTTTAATCAAAATCTTAACACAAAAAAGTTCTTTCATATTATACTGACAGTATCCTGAATGAAGCAATACACATGACATTAGTGATGTGCAATTTTTTTTTTCTAGTCTTTGTTGACACCCCAATTGGGAAGCATTGAAATAAAGATTAATATTCTTCTCTCAAATGAGCTTATATGCAAAATCCATCCCAAAAGTATTTTGTTCCTGGCAAAGATTCACTTACTTTAACTTTAATATAAATATTTTTAAAACACCAATGGCGTAATTCTGTCCATGAGGTAAGCAACAATTGCTTTTCAATAAAATAATAAGTGCTCAATCTTGCCATAAAAGGACTTCCTCTCAGAAATTCTACATGTATATAATTGAGTCCCCATTACAGCTGTACTTAACTGAACACTTCGACACGTGTTATGATGTAAATGGTATTATTTATAGAACAGAGGAAGAAAATTCTCATCAAAATTAGTTATGGCCAACTCTTGTTTGTTTGCTCTTGCAAGTTGGATGGTCATGAAAAATGTGAAATTTGTCACTAATAATAATATGTTGCAATTCTTTGTCATCAGTCTTGACATCTTCCACAGGACAGATTTCCTCCATATATTCATTTTGGGTTGTTTTTTTCTTCAGTGTCAGAAATAATTTGTTCAGTCATTGAAATATCTTGTTTTGGAAAACTTTCAACTATAATGCTATAATGGGTAGGAAATATATTATTATATTTTGGGATTTCCAGTTATTTCTCTACACATTTTCCACCCCCATCAACAAAATTGAATAAAGATCATAAGAGACGCATTTTTTTGTATCTACCTGTCTGGGTGTGTATTCATATTTTTGATTCTTTTGAACATGAGGATGTCGCAATTTATAATTAATAAAACTGTGATCTTTTGTTCTTTGAATCTTCATGTGAATGCAAAAAACATGATTTTAAGTAAATCGTAGTAGTACGTCTAGCATTAATGATACTTGGGGTAAAATAAACAAAATAAGACTTCCTATGCTTTCCAATGTTTGATATTTGAAATTCCGTGGCCCCTATCTGCTTCTCTTTTAGAGACTGGTTGATGAATATTAGAACAACTTTTTCTGCATCCTCAATATTTATTACTTTTACTAGTTTTTACAAAAATATTTAGCACCTAGGTATCAAACTGTGTTTTTTTGCTATTTAATTTATGGTTGAATGTTCCATATATATGTATGTTAAATACTCACAAACATAAAGCACAATTGACATGTTGCAGAGCACATAGTATATGTGTGTCAAATAGAATAACCATGAATAAAAGGAATATCATTTATATTCTAAACTTTCGCATTCTTTTGATTTATTAGCAGTGGTGTTCAATAGTTATGAAATTTATCTATGCATGTACAGTAAAGCCCAACCAAGTAAAACTATAGGGAACGGATTTCATGTCTTGGGGGG